AAAAAAAATTAAAAAAAAAAAGAGACAGAAATTTGGGGGGGGAAAAACGGATTGGGGGGGACCCAGAGAGGGAAAAGGGGGGTAGAGAAGGGGTTTGGGGGGACTAAAAGAATTGGGAGGACTGAGACAAATTTGGGGGGACTAAAGAAGGGGGATTGGGGAGGACTAGAGACGGATTGGGAAGGGCTAAGCGAATTGGGAGGGCTTTGAGACAGAATTTGGGGAGGCAGAGACAAATTTTGGGGAGGAAGGACATTTTGGGGGGGATTTAAAAAAAAGAAAGGAAATTGGGAGGACTAAACGGTTGGGGGGGAAATAAGACGGGATTGGGAGGGCTAGAGACCGGGAATTTGGGGGACTAGAGACAAAAATGGGGGAGGGGGGCTAAGACGGATTTTGGGAAAAGGGCAAAGGGGAAGAAAAGAAATTTGGGGAGGAAAAAACGGGATTGGGAACTAAACGGGATTGGGAGGGCCCCAAGACGAAGGGGGGGATAGAGAAAAAGAATTGGGGGGGCTAAAGTGGGGGGCAAAAATTTTAGGGCTAGAGACAGAATTGGGGAGGCTGAGACGGGGGGGAAGGGGGAGGACAGAGACAGAATGGGAGGACAAAAGGGGGTTGGGGAGGAAAAATGGACGGGATTGGGGAGGACAGAGAAGAATTGGGGAATAAACGGGATTGGAGACGAGACGGTTGGGGAGGACCTTTGGGGGGACAGAATTGGGGGGGCTAAGACGGGGGGGGGACAAGACGGGGTTGGGGGGGACAAGACGGGGTTGGGAGGGTAAAAAAAAAAAAATTGGGGAGGAAATAAGAGAGGGGGGATTGGGAGGGAAATAAGACGATTGGGAGGACTAGGGGGGAGGGATTGGGGAGGAAAAAAGAGACAAGAATTGGGGAAAAGGCTAGAACGGGGTTGGGGGAGGGGCTAGAGACGAATTGGGGGGGACTAAACGGGATTGGGAGGATAAAACGGATTGGGGGGAACAAAACGGGGGGGGGAGGAAAAAGGGGGATTGGGGAGGGCTAGGACGGGGTTGGGGGGCTAGAGACTTTGGGGAGGACAAGACGGGGTTGGGGAGGGGAAAATAAACGGGGTTGGGGAGGATAAGAGGGGGTTTGGGGGGGGCTAGAACGAATTGGGGAGGAAGAGACGGGATTGGGGAGGGAAATAAGACGGGGTTGGGGGGACTAAGACGGGGTTGGGGGAGACTAGAGACGATTTTGGGAAGACTAAGACGGGGTTGGGGAGGAAAAAAGGGCAGAATTGGGGAGGGCTAAGAGGGATTGGGGAAAAATTGGGGGAAAGGAAATTGGGAACTAAGACGGGGGTTTGGGGAAAGGGCTTAGGAAAACAGGGGGGAATGGGGGAGGACTAAGGGGGGGATTGGGGGAAAAGGACTGAGGGCGGGATTGGGGAGGTAAGAAAGGGGGTTTTGGGAGGGCAGAAGGGATTGGGGAAAGGCTAAGACGATTGGGGGGGTAAGACGGGGATTGGGGAGGGTAGAACGGGGTTGGGGAGGACTAAGGACGGGGTTGGGGGGTGGACTTTTGAGACTGAAAATTGGGGGGGACTAAGACGGGGTTGGGGGGGGACTAGAGACGTTTTGGGGGGGATAAACGGGGTTGGGGGGACTAAGCGGGGTTGGGGAGGGGTAGGACGGATTGGGGGGGATAAAACGAATGGGGAGGCTAGAGACGGGATTGGGAGGGTAAAGACGGGGTTGGGAACTAAAAGAATTGGGAGGGCTAGGACGGGATTTTGGGGTGTAGAGAATTGGGGGGGCAGAGCGGGGGTTGGGGGGGAAAAGAACGGGATTGGGGGGGCTAAGACGATTGGGGGGGACTAAGGGGATTGGGGGAGGGGCAGGACGATTTGGGGGGACTAAGCGAAATTGGGGGGGACTAGAGCGGGGGTTGGGGAGGACTAGGAGGGGTTTGGGGGGGACAAGAGAATTTGGGGAGGATAGAGACAGAAAATTTTTTTGGAAGACAGAATTGGAGGACTAGAGACGGAATTGGGGAGGACTAGAGACGGGATTGGGGAGGACTAGATAAGGAATTTTGAAGACTAAGACTGATGGAGCGACTAGAAGACGCGGATTGGAGGACAAAACGGGATTGAGGAGACTAAAATGGATTGGGAAGACATAACGACGGTGTACTAGATATGGAAGTTTATGAATGACTAGAGACGGATGGACACAAGAGACGGATTGGGGAAGACTAAACGGATTTAGAGGACTAAAATGGATTGGAGACAAAAACGGAACTGGACGACAGATATAATTTTTGGAAACTAAGACGGATTGAGGACACTAGAAGGATTTGTAAGACTAGAGACGATGGGGAGGCTAGAGACGGATTGGGAAACTAAGACGGATTGGAAACAAATCCGGGATTGGGAAGGACTAGAGAACGGGATTAGGAGGACTATAGAACGGATTGGGTGAACTAGAGACAGGGATTGTGAGACTAGAGACCTATTGTTGAGGACTATGAATTATTGGAGGACTAGAACGGGATTGGTCGACAGAACGGGATTGGGAAGACAGAGACGGATTGGGAGACTAAACGGATTGGGAGACTAAGAACGGGATTGGGAACACTATAGACGGATGATGAGACTAGAGACAGGATTGGGAAGACTAGAGAATGATTGGAGGACTAAAACGGGATTGGGAGATTCGACGGAGATTTGAGGACAGGACGGATAGAGTGGAGAAACTAGAGTTGGGATTGGGGAAACTAGAGTCGGACTTGGAAACTAGAAACGGATTATTAGGGAGGACTAAGACGGACTGGGGAGGACTAAGACGGGATTGGAGGACTAGAGAGGGATTGGGAGGACTAACCCCCCGGGAGGGGAGACTAAAAGACGGATTTGGGAGGACTAAAACCGGGATTGAGGACTAAGAGGGATTGAGGAGACTAGAGACAGATTGGGGGAATACTAGAGACTATTGGGAAGACTAAGACGGGATTGAGACTAGAGACGATTGGAGGACTAAACGGATTGGGGAAGACTAAGACGGGTTGTAGGACAAGAAACGGGATTGGGAAAACTAGAGATTGATTGGGGAGTACCAGTGACGGGATTAGGAGGACTAGAACGGGATTGGGGAAGACTAGAGAACGATTGGAGGACAAGACAAGGATTGGGAGGACTAGAGACGGATTGGGAGGAATAAACGAATTGGGGAGACTAGAGAGATGGTATTGGGAGACAAGAGACGGGATTGTAGGAGGACTAGAGAGATGATTGGGAGGACTGAAGAACGGATTGGAGGACTAGAACATTGACAAGACCCCCCCCCCTTTATTTTAACAGACGGAGTTTGGGAGGACTATAACGGATTGAGATCTAGATACAGTTGAAGGGTCTATCCCGCTTGGAGGTCTAGAATATTGGAGAGACTAAGACGATTGTGATGACTAGAGACGGGATGGGGAGACTAAGACGGTTTGGGAGGACTAGAGAGATGATTGGGAGACTAGAGACGGGATTGAGGACTAAACGGGATTGGGAGAATAGAGTTATGATAGGGAGACTAATAGGAATTTGTTAGACTAGTACTGAATTGGGAGGACTAAGACGGATTGACTTCTGACTTCTGCATCAGATACAGAGGCCAAGATAGAGTGGAATAAAGATGACGTAATCAGTTCCATCATGCTTGGAGGACTAACCCCCTCACACACGGATCTCGCAAGGATGATGGACTATTATACCACATTACACTACAGAAGACGTCTGCTGTAGGTATGGCGAAACATTCAAGAATTAAAAGATAAACAACTGTTTGCACAAGTGTCATCATGGTATGAGTAAGTGTGAACAAAATAATCGGAGAGTGATGCTGTTGCACACGTGTCATCATGTATGGTAGTTGAAGATTGAGACCTTATGCACATATGTATAATCTTTTTCAGGAACGATTCGCCACACATGCTTCACAGTCCAATACAAAGAGGAAGCGTAAGAAATGAATGAGAATCAGTCCCCTCAACTGGATCGATGTGTTTCAGTCCATCAATGCTTGTAGAATGAGAGATTCTCAAGATTGATTGACTGAACACATCGACCCAGGTGGGAGGGACTGATTACTCATTCTCCTCCTCTCTTACCCTTCCCTCTTTGTATTGGACTGAAAGCCCCCTGTGTGGCGAGAACGTTTCCTGAAAAAGATTTACATATGCTGCGTAGTGTCTCAATCTTCAACTTTCGGTTTTTCAAACCTTCAGCACCCATGGGTAATGGTAGTGGTGAACAATATATGGGAAGTGAATGGCAGTTTGCCTGTAGGAAGCCTGTACAACATCGCAAATCACACAACCATTTCATTAACTACAAGAATCTCAGACTTATCGCCACAGAAGACAACACTCAATACCGAAGAATCCTGGGAATCATCGCTTACCTCAAGTAACAACAAGTTTCACCAAACAACGGCTTCAATAACATAGCTGAACCACTCGCAAGAAACTCTCATACGCTATACCACATAAAGAACATAGAAAAACACTGCAGAAGGTCTAACTCACCACTTGTCCAATACCCCTGCCAAGCGACCCAAGACTCTATTACTCCACCCCGTAGATCATCAGATGCAACATCTCACCTGACCTAAAACACAGAAGACTGTGGAACTTGAAAACGCCCACTGTGTGGTGAAACGGTTGTCAAAAAGGATCACTTAATATCGGCATATGTTTTTTATATTTCCCCTGTGTCGTATTGAATACCATATTTTATTTCCAATCGTTGTCAAAACAAAGCAGAGTAGAATGGATTCCTTCACACAGAGAATACCTGGACCTTCTCTAAAAGCTTACTCACTTCGCGAACAGACACAAATTTTTCTTCGTGAGTGGGCATGCCAAGAATATGGTTCTTACCAAGATCTACTCCTCCATCATATTCGCCACATCAAACACCTTTCTTTCTCCGCAAAAACAGCTCGTGACCTACCATGAAGAGTGTGCCGAAGACTTAAACAATGCTACAAAGTAAGCTTTTCTCCAAGCCAGAAACACTAGGCACACCACTCCGGGGCATCATGCACAGACGCAACCGGCGAATCAATTCGCAGCAGAGTTACCACAGCGAATGTCAACATAATCAGTCTGCAGAAACAACAACCACTCTGGCGATAATAGTAATGGGAATAGAGGTAAGACCTGAAATTTTCAAAATTCTTTCATCTCGTCCACAGTCGAACCACAGAAACTGAAGGCCCTCACTTAAGTCCTCAAATTCCACAGGAATTACAAACCAACAAGAACTAACATTTCATCGCAAAAACTAAAGACACAATGACTCCGACTATCAAAAAGGCTTTCTTCAAGGCATCATCTCAAGCAGCCATCTGAACACAGCAAGCTCCCCAGTCATACCTCGACGTACATCAATGCACTCAAAGGTTTACAGAAGAACACGACCATCAGGGTCACCACCGCTGAATAAAGGAGGTGGTGTTGTTATCATAACACTGACGAGTTTACAGAACAAAATGCCATCATACTTAATGACCCAGATACCTGACAAACCTCTCACACTAACCAAGTGACAACCTACTAAAACTTTTCTTCAAAGGACACGCCGCATTTTGAGGGCACAGAACCAAGGAGAAATTCTGCACACCATGCCCACAACACCAGGCCTCCAAATGTCCGGCCTGCCAAAGACTCACAAGCCTGGTATCCCACTGAGGCCTATAACCCACGGAATAGGCATGCTCCCCACCAGCCTCAGGAATTCCTCGCAAAACACCTCACTTAAACACTTGGTGCACTACATCCCAGCACATCTCTAACACTCGGGTGCTCTCAACCGCATTCGCAACATCAACATCAAGAACAAGAAACTTTTCAGCCTTGACGGACTTCCCAATTCACCAAAGTACCTACTACACACAAGATCCATCCGAGTCTCCTTGCGCAGGAAAATTGACCGATGCACTTGATCTTCCCCCTCCCAGCCACGAATTTCATCGACCTTGATTTTGAACTATGTGTTGCTTTACGTTGTTTCCTCTTCGAAAAATCAACCTCTTTCAGCAAACTTTTTGAGACTACCCATGGGTTCGCCACTCAGGCAGGACCTGGCGAACCTATACATGGAACATCTAGAAGCCGAACGTTTCACCACCATTATTCCGTCGTCTGTCACCTGGCTCCGTTATTGGTTGAGACGACATTCTCCTCATAAAACTCCTACACGCTTCAACGGTTCAAGCACTCCAAGACAACTCAAACCAGATCGACCTCATTCCATTCAACACTTGAAGAAGAAGGCGACAACACCTTCCTTTCCTTGATGTTCTGCTCTGCAAAGCGACCACGAACTTCGTTTAAAGTCTAGCGAAGAACCCACCAACCCAAAACATCTTCTCCACTTCTACTCTCATCTCACCACACACCAAAACTTAAACGTGGTGTAATTTATAGGCTTCGTACCGTACGTGCACTCTGAATCTGCCAAGCAATGATTTTCCTTGAGGAAGAATGCACGATAAGTGAACAAGTATTTTCTAACTCCACTATCCTCGTCTCTTCCCAGAGACAGCAGACCGGGCATTAAACAACTTCTCCAACACACCCAAGCAAACACAGCCGAGAAGAGATACATAGTCCTCCCAACTACTCCATTGCAAACATGTTTCCAACATCTTTGCGAAAAAATCATTCCAAGTATCTACCTCCACAACCTCGACCATCAAGGAGACATCACCAGTATAGACAGGACAAGCCTCCACCTCTGCAGGGTATACAGTAATCCCATGTAAATGACTGCAACAATAAATGTGGAGTCGATAACATCAGAGACCATCCAAACACGTTTCAGAAACACCAATATGGCAACAGGACTGACGATACAATATGCCTGATGTGTACACCATCGCAATTCACACCACACATTATAAATTTAACTACAGAAACACAAGACTTATAGCCACAGAATACAACACTGCAATACATAAGAATCCTGGAAACATCCCTCATCTCTGACAACCACATTTCAACACATAACAATTGGCTTCTATCGCATCAGCTGGAACCACTTCCCAAGAAACTTCTTCATCGTAATCCCACTTAAAACAATAGAAACACTGCGAAGTCTACTCACAACTTGTCCAATACCCCTGCCAAGCTACCCAATACTTCTATAACCTCCACCCGGTAATCAAATCAGATGCAGCTTCATCTCACCTACCTCAAAAATCTTAAACATTGCCTATAAATACTCTCCGTACCTTCCCACCCCAAAAGGGTAGATCCTGTTAACTTGAAAAATCCCACTGTGTGGTGAAACGTTTCAATAACAGGATCACATTAAAGAGAACATAAGAACATAAAAAAAAGGAAAGGGGGGAACACTGCAGCAGGCCTGTTGGCCCATACTAGGCAGGTACTTACAATTCATTTACCCACTACAAAAACACAATTGACCAACCAAATTTTTTTGTGTTTATATTACCATGGGATGGCAGTGTTTGAACACTGTATATGAGGATAGTGGATGGCAGTTTGCACACTGGTCATCATTGGTATGGTAGTGTTTTGAACATATATTGGATTGTGGATTGCAGGTTGCGCCACGTGTCACATGGTATGTAGTGTTCACATGTATGCGAGAGAGGATGGCAAGGTGCACACTTGTCAACATGTATTGAGTGTTGAACATTATATGGGAAATGAGGATGCAGGTGCACCCGCGTCATCATGATATGGTATTGTTATAACAGTGTATGGAGAGTGGAATGCAGTTTGCACACTGTTTATCATTATGGTATGATGAACAATATATGTGGAGAGTGGAGGCAGGTTGCACATCTTGTCATCATGGTATGGTATTGTTGGAACAATATATGAGGAGAGTGATGGCAGTTGCACACGTTTCAACATGGTATGGTATTGTTGAACCGTATATGGGAGAGTTGATGCACAGTGCACACGTGTCGTCATGGGATGGTAAGTTAACAGTAATATTTGAGAGTGGGATGGCACAGTGCACACGTTCGTCAGGATGGTAGTGTTGAATCAGTAAATATAGAGTGGATGGCAAGGATGCACACGTGTCATCATGGTATGGAAGTGTTTGAACAATATATGGGAGAGTGAAATTCAGGTTGCACACGATCATCATGGGATTGCAGTGTGAAACACTGTATGGGAGAGTGGATGGCAAGGTTTGCACACGTAAGCATGGTATGGGTTTAAAAAGTATTTGTTTTTTGAACAATTGTATGGGAAGTGGATGCAGTGCACACTGTCCATCATGGAATGGTATGTTGAACAGTGTAGGGAGTATGGATGGCAGTTGCCACGAACGTGTCATCATGGATGTAGTGTTGAACAATATATGGAGAGCGGATGCAGGTTGCACACGTGTCATCATGTATGGTAGTGTTTGAACATATAATGGAGAGTGGATGCAGGTGCTCGACAAGTGTCATCATGGAATGGTAAGTGTATGGAACAGTGTATGGAGAGTGGATGGCCAGGTTGCCACACGTTGGTCATCATGTATGTAGTATTAAGAAGTACTGGGAAGTGGAATGGCAGGTATGCACAGTGTCATCATGGAATGGTAGTGTTGGAACAATCTATATGCGGTGGATGGCAGGTTGCACACGTGTCATCATGGTAATGTTATGTGATTTGAACAATATATTAATAGTGGATGCAGTTGCACACGTGTCATCATGGTATGGTAGTATTGAACAATATATGGGAGAGTATGGAAGCAGGTTTGCTCACCTGTCATCATGGGATGGTAGTGTTTGACAATAAAAAGAGTGGATGCAGGTTGCACACGTGTCTCATGGTATGGTAGTGTTGAACAATATATGGAGGAGTGGATGGCAGTTTGCAACACCGTGTCATCAGGTAATGGTAGTAACATATATGGAGCTGGATGGCAGGTTCTAACGTGTCATCAGTAAGGTAGTGTTGAACAGTGTATGTGAGAGTGGATGGCAGTTTGCACACGTGTCAATCATGTATGGTAAGTATTGAACAATATATGGCGAGGGATGCAAGTTGCACACGTGTCATCAGGAATGGCCCGTAGGGTTAACACTATATTTGAGAGTGGATCAGGTTGCACACGTGTCATCATGGATGGTAGTGGTTGAACAATATATGAGAGAGTGGATGGCAGGTGCACACGTTCATCATGGTATGGTAGGTATTGAATCAATAATGGGAGAGTGGATGCAGTGCTCCCCTTCTCATGGTATGGTAGTGTAGACAATATATGAAAGAGTGGATGGCAGTTTTGCCACACGTGTCATCATGGTAATGGTATGTAGAACAATATATGGGAGAGTGGCGTGCAGTGCCACAATCATCTGTCTCATGGTATGGTAAGTTGAACAATATATGAAGAGGGGATGGACAGGTTGCACTCGTTCATCATGGTATTGTAGGTTGAACAATATATGTGGAGAGGGGATGGCAGGTTGCACACGGTCATCATGGTATGGTATTTGATGAACAATTACTGGGAGAGTGGGAATGGCAGGTTGCACACTGTCATCAGGTAATGAAGAGTTGAACAATATATGAGAGAGTGATGACAAGTAACAGAGGAATGTGTCCGATCCAGTCCCTATAATTTACTAAATTTAGACCTTTTATGTATCAGAACATAAGTCGTCCTGTTACATGAGACAGTGTGTCATAGAATAATGTTTTTAATGCGAACATTCATTAAAAAAAATTTAGAATTTATCTCTCCAAATATTCAACTTGAGTTTGTGTAAATTAGAGATGTATTAGTTAGCATTTTGTCCTTGCACATGTCGAGTATACTCTTGCTTGTTTTGTAAATCCATGCTTGCATGATGACTGTGTGTACTCTCCTATTTGTACTCACCTATTTGTGGTTCTAAGTCGTGTCATATGCTCAGGAACGGGGGACGGGGGCCGGGAGGACGGGGGCGCGGGGGGGTACGGGGGAGACGGGGGGGACCGGGGGAACGAGGGTTACGGGGATCGGGGGGACGGGGGACGGGACGGTGGGGACAAGGGACGGGGAACGGGGACGACGGGGTGACGGGGGGGTACGGGGGGAGAACGGGTAAACGGGGGACGGGGGACAAGGGACCGGGTGAAACGGGGGACGAGGTACGGGGACGGGGGGACGGTGGGACGGGGTGACGGGGTG